AATAAACTTGTCTTAAACAAGAAAGCAAAATTAGAGGGACAACCTGCACTTATTGAATTCATACCTTAATTAAGCATGAAAGCCATGCCCACAGGATTATGAAGAATGCTGACAAATTAGGTTTTTTTCCTTTACCCTGAGAGATTTTTTTTCCAAAGATGAGGCAGTAAAGCATTGTGCTTATATATATGCACCAAGTCACAAAAAAACCCCAAGTACATACAAATTTAGCCTCAGCTAGAATATAATGACCCTTTGACCTGTAGAACGGTGATCAGGTCAGAGCGTCTTAATCAGAAGACTTAAAACCACATTATTCCCTATTTTTTCTGGAACATTCTTCTGCAAAAAGGTATCTTTATCAGGTTTATGTTCACTCTTGGAATAATGTGTGCAAATTCTATATACTATGAACTGATCCGGTTAGTCCTTTATCTAATTAATAGAACAGATAATTAGAGACACCCCCTATACAGAAATAATAATAATCCTGTGTTTCTGACCTCTTCAAACATGTTTGCTTTTGCAATTCATCCTATCAAATAAATTTTATGAAGAGAGAAGAGATCTATGTTGCACAGAAGAGGGTTTAAAAAATGTCTTCATAGCACAAAATCTTACTGCCACAATTTGCAAAATGCAACCACCGAGGCACTCTCAGGTGATCAAACACTGTCAATTAGAGGATCATTTCATTTTTGCAGCCCTTGTTAATTACATGGTTACACTGAATAATTTTTGTTTTGATATCGATGTATTCTATCCCCATTGCTTACAGTTTCAGAACCAAGGGAAGTAATCATAAGATTAATTCACCTAATGGTTATTGGTGATGCAGGGAATAAGTACCAATTCAGATTAATTTACTGAAATGTGTGTGTGTTTTGTTTGTGAGATGCAACTGAGTGCATATTGGCTGGCTAGTTTTTGCTCTTCTTACAAGTGTGTAATTAATTTCCTTGAGCTTCTCTGCAAAGCTTTTTAATGTAAAGTGCATTAAAAACTTTCTAAACATCAGCTGGAGAGAACGGACCACAAACACAAGATCCAACTGCTCCGGGGGGTTTTGGCCACACTGGCTGTCTGAGAGAATAACTGATGGAATGACAGAGCTATTGGACCATCATAATCCATGCAAAGCGCCATATAATAGCTCTGTAGTATGCATTTTAAAATGAAATATAAAACTTCTGCCTCTCTGAATGGCTAAGATGGAATGTGTTTGAGACAAAAGAACTAATTTATGATCAAATGAGAAAAGTCAGCAAGCCAAATATTACAGTAACTTGGTGTTAGTAAAAGATTTTCAAGATAAAATACATAGGTAGTATTGGAAGGAAGGAAGAAAATTAACTTACCATCTAAGGTTATTTATATCAATTGCATTTAAAAATAAGCTAGCGAGACTCTGGAGACTAATCTCAGGATAACTTTGATGAATTTGGAGAGTGTTGAGACTTGGAAACTTCTCTCTGGGAAGTCTCCACTGGAAGTTACCATTGCAGCACACCATCTTCTCTTTATCTCTCATCCACCTGCAGCAGCAACAAACAGGGAAGAGTCAGCAGATAGTGCAAAACGTAATTTCTTCCTTCATATTTTATCCACACTATTCTCTTTAAGCTCTACTGCAGGACTAAGACTTTTCTTATACAAATGTTGACAGTAGCCCATTACTTCTTCTCTTCAGTATTTTCAAATAAACAGATATTGTTTTAAGAGTGGAACAACACACTGAAAGTTATTTTTAAGAACCAGCTTGAAGATGAAAAGTTTAAAAGAGAGAGGAGAAATCAGCAAAAACCAGTCCTTTCTGGAGAACACAAATGATACGGAAGTCTCAAAGGCAGTATGGTTGAAATAGCTTTTTAAATCTAGCTTTTAAAATAAACCATATAGAAAGGACTTTTATTTGTAAAGTTCCTTTCCTTTATTTTTGCTTTGGTAAAAATGCACAGAAGTTTGGGGGGAGATAGAAAAGAGACATGAGTAGGAATATGAGTAGGAATACAGTGGTTCTTCAAAAGAACATGGTAAAGCAATCTGAATTTTGTAGCTTTGTATGTTTTAGTGAAGGAAACATTTGTGCAGATCGTGAAATTCCCTTTGAAGAGCTTTTCCTCAATCATTTTCTTTTGAAGGAAGGGAAGAGAGTGAGGTTTTTCTCTCACAAACATGCCTACTTTAAAAAGACACTTCAGGAGCACAGCTTCATGACCCGTGCTTTCTCTTGCTGGCTAAATTGCCAGCTGCAAGAAGAGATTTTCCATTTAAATTCTGTAGATGTTGGTGTTCTGGCTGCATAGCTATGGTAACTATAATTTTTTTTCAGGTTCAGTAGTAGTAATTATTTTAAGGATATAAAAGAATCAACAAAAATCCAACATACCCTCAGCAGAGTGGTTAGAAAAGAACCAGGTCCCATCACCTGCAATCAGAGTCACGCATGTCACAGCATCCCAATATCCATCTCCAACCCGAAATACACAGAGCTTTTCTCTCTCTACTCAAAGTGCTAAACTCTTCCTGATCCCAAATCTTTCACTGGTTGAAAGCCTTTTAATTTATGATCTAAATTTACCCCTTCATATCCATTTGCTTTCATGACAACATTATAATTTAGCTTAAAATTCTTTCTTCTTTGCAGGTGCATGTCATAGATAGAACATACGCTCATCTTTTCCTACAAGTGGTCAATCTCTGATTTTTAAGCTGCCTGTAGTTTATGGGCAGTTCAAGTGCAGTTCTCATTTTGGAGCTTAATTCCATAATGATGCTCCTACAACTGCTGGACGAGTCAAATGCTTCACTGTGAAAGGAATTGAGCAAAATGGGCCAATGCTACACATGTAACTTCCAACCCAGGTTACAGGTTCCAGTACAGGCACCTCCAAGCCTGGTAGAAGGACCTCAAGAAGACACCTTTTTCCACTTTGAACTACCCCCATTGCTTCCCCTCCATAACCCCTTCAAGTCTGTAATGTGTCTTTTGGCAATCTGAAGATTTCTGCAGGAGATCTGTGCTGTATGCTCTGAATTTAGCCTGTTATTTTCCTTCCTTTTCACTAAGCTACCCACATATGAGAGACAATACCTTATATTTTGCTAAGGTCTTTCTACCAGAAAGCTGTACTGTCTTGACAGTCTGATCTTCTGTTAAGTTATCTTTATTATTAACACTGTGTGCCAAATCCCCACTTGAATTTGTCTGTCTCTCATTGATTTTTCTTCTGCCTTTCTTCTTCAGATAAATGTCCAGTATTTTCTGCCCCTTTGAGGTATTTATACACTTCGATCATGTTATTTTTCAAACTTCTTTTTGATAAACTACACATATTGAGCTCCTAAAGCTTCTTACTGTAAGAAAATTTCCCTGACTCTCAGATCATGGTTTAGTGGCTTTGTTCATGGACGCAAAATTTTATGCAATGGCCCAGAACTGGTGTCCTTAATATCATATAAAATAACAAGTGACCTTCATACTCCTACTCACTCTTTCTCTCTTTCCATGTCAGTGGGTAACACAATAGTGCAGCGAGAACTTCAACACAACAGTGCTGAGATCTTCAACGTGAATTCTGAACCCTTCTTCAAAATCTTCAAAATCCACCTTGCCTACATTCCCAATTCATATATCTCTTAATATCCTTCCTCTGTCTGTTTTACACTGTCCTACTTAAATAGATTAAACTTCAGGAATGGGTTATTTTCTTGCCCTTATTAATATTTATACCTCTGTCAATTATTTGCAATTCTTAGTTTCAAAACATCAATGATTTTGTATCTTCTTTCCAGATGTCAGATGGCAGTGCTGAACACCTTTCTCACTACAATTCCCTGCAGTAGCTTTTTTTCTAGAATTTGGGATAGAGAAACCACATTTTGACTGTGCCAGGCTGGTTCTTAGTATTCTCCAAAATTTATATCCCACTGTATATGTCCTCAGCTGGACCTGACAGTTTCTGACTTAAATATGACTTTTGATAGGTCATGACTAGAAATTAGCACAAATAGAAAAAGCTTTTTATCTTTTCTGAAACTGCGAAAGCCACAAATTATTTTAGTTGTGCTGTGTAATACAAGGTTACTCATAATTTTATTGAGATATGTATTTACTGACTGTGTTGTTTCTCCAATGTGCTGGCCAGCACTCTGGTAAGAGTTCCACAAAAGTAAAAACCTTTTCTGCAGGCCCACGTGGCTGATGGCAGTGCCAATACTCTGCTCTCGTGGCATGTGCTGAGCACGCTTTAGAATGTCAGGGGGAGTTGTGCCTACGTGTGGAGAAGAGGCTATAGGAGATGACATTTGCCATGTGGCTCAGAGATGAAAATTTTGCCCTAAGATAGTTCCTTCAGTAAGTTGTGGGGTTTGTTTTTTTCACCACCACAGCAGTCACTTTTGTTTTAACAGAAAACAAACCCCTAAGTCAATGTTAAAGAATAGAATTTGCCGAGAGACTGTTTGATATGTTGTATTCTGCTTAAATATCATTAACATAAAGCATTGGCTAAACAAAAACTGGTGGTAATAGTACTAATCTATAAAAGAACCTCACTGCTTTTTTTTTTTTGATCTAAGCTTCTGTTACACCGCACCCAGTTAAACATCTCAGACTCCAAATTATGACATTCCACTTTCACAGCCATTTGTGTAGCTGGCATTATTAACTCTGTGATCATGGGTTGATTAATGTGGACTGGGAGTGCTATTAATCTCCAGAAATCCTGTGCAAGAGGCAACAGCAACCTATAACTATGCAGCTTAGCAAAACAGATTTTTATATAAAATGACTGATATAAAAAGAATGTACTGTTTCCATTTCTTTGTTATAACTATTTTTGAAGCATAAACTGGCTTGAAAGGCAATCTCAGTTTTCCCATTTTCCTGTTCATACAAGAATGAACTAAGTGATGCACTGTGTAAAATTAAAGTTTCTGTAAGAAAATCTCTAACAAAGTGTTTTGCTCTGTTTTCTCCCGTGTTTGTTTTTCCTTGCTGGCAGCTTGGTAGCCACGAAGGAGACAGACAGTGCACGATCTCGCAGCATGCCAATGTCACCCTCTGATTTCCTGGACAAGCTAATGGGGAGGATGTCAGGCTACGATGCAAGGATCAGACCAAATTTCAAAGGTAATTTCAAACCTAAAATTTCAGTATTTCATTTTTTTTCAGTGTTTTTTTTGTTTTTTTTTTTTTATCTTTTCTGAAATGCTTGTTAATGGATTCAAATTCCCACCTCAGACTACCATAGCCTGAAGTACTCCAGAAAGTAAATTCTGTGAAAATGAGGCCAAATCCTCATATCTGCCTGATCCTAACCAAAAGGAAGAGTGTGTTAATGATCTGACCATCACAGTCAAACTCAAAAGAGCTTACCTTAGTACGAAATCTATCACCAAATTAGATTCCTCACTCCTGTGTCCCTGTTGTGCTTTGAAGCGGCAAAAGGGACCATCTTTCCTCTTGTTCCTTTCCCTGTTCTCAGTTCTCCACTGAAACTGCAGGTTCTCAGTGACAGAAACTGTCTCTTTTATGCATTTATCAGAAAGGAGATTCAAAGACGACAAAGGAGATTCAAAGAAGGTTGGAAGACCTAAGTTTGCAAATGCGATGATTATATCTGCCAAGGCAGATATCTGTGCACAAACCATATTATCCTGACTTGGACATGCTAAAGTAGAGCATTTAATGAATGGTTATACAAACTATATTATTATACAAATAAAAAAACTATTGTACAAACAAATACCACTCATTCTAACTTTTGCAGTCTGAGAAGTTTAGGTAAATTTTACTATTCTATTTTTCAGAACTCAAATTCCAATAATAGAGTGGAACTATATTTAACTCTATTTCTCCATCTTTAAATCAAGTTATCAATCTTTAAAGTCTCCAGAATATAATTATTTTTAAAGAATAAGCCCATTGTGATTTAAGATGACATTATTCTTACTTTGCCTTGGCTGCCTCCACTTATCTTCTTGAGTCCAAGACATTCTCTTTGCTCTAACATTTCACTATAAGGCAGGTTTTACTCCTTGTTTACTACAAAAATTTTCCTTCAAGCAGACAGCCCTTCCTCCTCTAAGTCATCTGTCTCCACCTTTCCATCTTAATTCTTATTCAGCACTAAAGTTTATAGTTTTTTGACATCTCCAAATCCCAGAAACTTCAATGGTTATGACTCTAAAGCAATTTCTATTTGCTGGTTTTGCCATAATTTGCCCAGACTGATTCATAAGGACCAAGTAAATTGTTTGTCAAATTACTTCCCATCAGTAAGCCATAAACAGTTGCTGCTGAATACATAAACTTACTACACCCAGGATTTACTGCAGCTAGAAATGCTTTGTTTTTAATAAGTTTGCGGTGCTGATATTTTTCAGAAAATTATAAACATGCACTGGAAATTCAAACACATCCCAAAAAGATTTACCTGTGATCAAAGCAGTGATCAATGTCCCTGATGACCACACAGTATAAGTCCCTTGGACTTTCCTTGCCAGAACTACTTTGAAGAATGCTCCAGTGTCTGGCTTCCTGGAGGATTAATGTATCAAACAGTATTTGCAAAATAATGCAAAATGTTGTATTTCTCAAATTATTTTCTTAGATGAATGGTAGCTCTTAAATTACTTTTGTTCCTTATTAAAGTTGCCTTGAGGTGTTACTGCAGTATAGTCTTTTGTGTGCAAACTGCAGGTTCAACCTAAGGTAAAGCTGTGCTGAGCAGAAGACAACCTCAGGCAAAGTGTAGGCATTGCAGGCTTTCTCCTTCCTTCTTTGGGTCTCCTGAGTCCTACAAACAAGTGTTTAAAAATGAGGAGTTTACTCCTTAGCAGTTTATTTGGGGGACTGGATTTTGGAGTTTGTCATGGACACCATGCAATCACAATCTTCTACAGGGCTACGGTGAAGAACAGGCAGATGGTTCAGAGATTACAAGTTCAACACGGTACTTCTTGAACGTATAATTCAAAAGACTTAGAGCCTTGTTTTGTAACTACTAAAATTTAAAGAGACAAAACCTAATTTGACATTGTTCTTTTTCAAAAAGTGCACATTCTAAATCTTCTAGACAGCTATGCAGTTTGAACAAATCTGCCCAGAATGATTCAGATCCATCACTAAGAATAAGTATCTCCTCAAGTGACTTTGCCACTTTCTGGCTAGTTTTATTAGTCTGGAACAAGTGCTGGTGCCTAATGCTTTTTTGGGCAACAGTTTTAAAGAAACAGAATGAGAACTGGTAAGAGAATTCAGACAATCATTTTAAGTCATTTGCACTTCCAATAAAACTTCTGTGTAAACAAGACTTTTAACTACCATCTGTTAATCATAATTAATCTTTGTCAATAACACATAATTATATATTTTGTATGAGTGCTTTGCCTTTGGATAAGGAATTCTGAAGATGTTACTTCAGCAAAAATAACATTAATCCATCTCTCTTAATCATACAGCTTCAAATTTCCACCAGTTTGACTGGTGTAGAGGTAAGGTTTACAGGGACAAAGTTCATTATCTATGTCATCCACCATCATACCTGGAATCTGGTTTGCTTTTTTAATTCAAGTTATACTTTCTGGACACGGTACACATTTCCCCTGATAAAAATAACTGACACAGGTGACACCTGACTCACGGGGATTCAGATTTCCACAATTTTGCAAAAATTTTTGTAACGTATGGCTTGATATCACCGCAGCCTGTCAGTTTGTTTCTGTTCACTTAGTCTGAAATGTCTTCTACAGTCCTCATACAAGTCTTCCACCAGAGCGGCTCCGGTGTTTGACAGAGCCAGTGATTGGAGACAAATGCTGCTACAAAGACTTCATTTCGTTTTTTTCTGCTCTGACCTTCTTCACTTTCATGGATGCTTTTATATCTTAATCGTCTTCCCTTGACTTCACCTTCCAGATCTTGGCAGCATTCTATTTTTAACACCTTGCAGGTAGTTATCATTGTTAGCTTTTCTGTCTCCAGTGAGTTTAAGCTCTATTTTTCCCCCCGTGTCTTTAATCTATGTTCAACTTGCCCAAGTTGCTGTGTTTGAATATGACTTCCAGTTTTAACAGCTTCCTTTATGCTTCTTTTTGACCGTGTTTCGGGAAGTTCCTTTTCACTCTCAACACAGTAATGTCTAATCTATATGCAAGCTGCTTTTAGCTTCTCCTTTAAATACCTGTTAACTTTTTTTGTAATGCTGCTTTTGAAATGAAGCATCAGTCTTACAGTGATTTAGAGCTTTTTCTTTATAAAAGAAACTATGCTTGTTGATACAGCAAACTTACACTTTAAAGCATAGTGCAATTTTAAACAAGACTGTATCACGCCAAATTTGAAAAGATGACAAGTATTACAACATGAAAGCATGTGAAAGCAAAGCTGCCTTGCAAATAAATTATCTAACATAGCCAGGAAGTATAATATTCTCCCTGAGAGTTTTTAGCGACTCTGCCTTTGTTGTTGCCCAGCTTTTTATTTCTTCCTTGATCCCTTTCAGGTGTTGTCAATGTCAAGATTTTACTGAATTCAAAGAAATGTCAGATATGCTCAACAGCTCTAAATAATTAACCGAGTATCAAAGTGCAAAGAGTGTCAAAGTGACTGCAGAGTGATACCTCCTTACCTGAGAATTCCTCTCCGTGCACATAATCCTGTGTGTTACAATGACTGACACACACGTAGTGATGTTTTGCTGCCATTGCCATACAGTACTTCACAACAATTATTGCCTTGAGGAAGGAAAGCTGGATGTTCCAAGCTGTCTCCTGTTGGCAGAATACTTTATGGATGTTCTGATTCTTCAAGTTTTTAAACACCAAGTTCGTTGGTCACATTAAATTTTCTTAGTTGCAAACCACCCACAGCAGCAGAGGAGGTTTTTACTTCTGCAGCCCTAAAAAAGGGAAATATTATATAAGGCTTTGTAAGACCAGTCTTCAAATTCCAGATCTAGGTCTTTATTATTAGCGACTGCTTACACCTGCAAAAAGAAACCAGGTTCTCCAGTGCTGAACTGGGTCATTGAGGTAAGAGCATCAAGGTGCAGGAAGGTGGCAGAAAAACTTTGAGATGGAAACACTTTGTTTTCTCTGTACACAGACTGGAATTGATAAGAAATACTGGAGAAATTAGCATGCTCCACCATAATGCCATTTTTACAGAGACTTTCAGAGAAATAATTTAAAACCTTTTCCCTGAAGAGATGATTCATTGTTCTGTTATCGTACTGACTGCTCTGCCACTACTGATGCTTCACAAACGCAAGATAAGGCAGAACAACAGTTGACTGAAGACCCACGGTAACAGAAAATTCAGTTTAAATGGATTCTTAACCGATTTGTGGACTTAAGAGAAATGAGAATAGAATCTAAGTCATTCTTCCTTATCCACATTTGTTGCTGTAAGCAGTAGAGATAAGAGCAGCAATAATATATTTCTGTTATCAGTGATGACAGATAACATTAAAGGTAGCAGCTGCCTTGAGTGAAAAAGGTCACTTTTTCCCTTAATTGCTGTAAGAAATGACATACATGGCTCACTGAAATGCACTTTAAAATATTTTTTACTATATATTTCAAACGGGGTATTGATTTTCTTGCATAGAATCATCTGTGCAAGTTTATAATGAACTTTCTCCTTTTATTGCTAGCTTGTCAACCAAGTTTATAATGAACTTTCTCCTTTTATTGCTAGAACTAGCTTGTCAACCAGTGTACCTTTGAGAAAAATCAAAAGGAAAAATATTAGAAACCATTCAATTTAATTTTGCATTAAATAAGTTGCGAGTGGAGCATTATTTCCTCTTAAGCCTATAAACACTGTTCCATAATGGTTTCTATTTTACAGTCATTCAATAAACAGTGACACTGGAACTGTTGTTTTTTCCTCTTTTTCAGGCCCTCCAGTTAATGTCACATGCAACATATTTATAAACAGCTTCGGATCCATTGCAGAGACAACCATGGTAAGATATTTTACCCCAAACAAAGTGTTTAAAGTTCAAGATAAATATGTTCAATGAGCTCAAAAGCCAGCTAGGGCTTCTCTTCACCTGGAACTAAATGAAGAAGGGAATCCACTTCTGAGAGCAGACAGTGAGAACGTTTAATTTGGCAATTGATTTTTTTCTAACAGAAAATCCATCATTATGCCATCAGACACACAAGTAAAGCCAAGGGTTAGGGTTTTTCTTTTTCCATAAGTTTTATCTGACAGCTGTAATGAACTCACTATTTTCAATTAGATAGGCATTACTTTCTACAGTGTTCCACATTTCTAACCTCACAAATGTTACTTCATTATGTTGCTCTGTTAAGAATATGTTATAATTACATTATATACAGTGCATATGGGGATGCCTACTTTGTTTTAAAAGTCCGTCTTCCATAGAGCTACTGCAGAGAGATAATAGAATATTTCATTATGAATTCTAAGAACAGGGTAAATATGAATGGATTGCACACTTTTTGTATATACTTTTATAACTAATGTCTATTAAAAAAAGGCAGAAGATAAGAGTACAAAGAGACTGTACAAAGGAAATAAGGAGAAAGGGAGACTAAAGTCTAAAGGTAATAAAACTAAATATTGAACTATGAACCTATAAAAATAACTTGGATAATCCTATTTAACAAGTGAAACATATCTGCTAATAATTTGGAGCACAGATTTACTCACTTAAATTTAGTGAGAGAGGAGATATAGTCATTCTTTCTCCATACAAGTGCCTCACGTGTTGAAAACAGTTCCGTGGTAATTTGGGGACAGAGAGGGTTAACATACAGAGAGGTGAAAGAAAGTCTATGGGAGTTTGTAAGATCCATATACAATAAATTGAAATCCCAACAATTTCAGGGGTCAGTATACATACTTGGAATGACAGAACACAGAATAAAAATAATTGGTATAGCAAGAAAAAAGAAAAAAAAAAAAGACAAGATAAAGGAATCCAACTAAGAAAATGCCATCCTTCTGAATTACCAGTAAGAGCAAAAATGAGACCTCTGAATGTAACCAAGGACCTGTAGTTAGGAAATCAATAACATAAAGTCAAATATTTATGCCCCCTGTCTCCAAAGTGATGTTCACAGCTGCCTGATCTTTACTTGCCTTGAAACACAGGGGTAGGTGCTGCCCATGATTTTTTTTTTCAGGTAGAAAATCACTTTAACTTGCATTTGGGTGACTTGCCAGATTGCAAATCCCAAACAGATTGACATGGCATCCAGGGAGATTTATTCAGGTTCAATCAGAGGATTAAGCAATGCCCACATGATTAGAATAGTGCTCCACAGCTACTTTTTAATGGCCGTATGGGTGAAAATGGTGCAAAGCGGGAGATCGACCACAGGGTCAGGAAAGCACAAAGATCCAGCAGTGAGATCAATATAAAAAGGATATTAAAAAAACTGAAGTTGCTACCACTTAAAAACATTATCCTGAATTTGGGAAGAGGATGCCTGAGTTCACATCTCAAGTGTATTTTCTCTCCAAAGAATGAGAATTATAAATAAATCCTTTCAGTACAGCTTAGTAATGTAGTACTATACTTTTGTCTTCTAATGAAATCACATTCTTCTCTGTGTTGCCTTGAAAGTGAATTACAACAGTTGAGATAGACCACAGCCTGATCTGTTACAAATAGCTCCGGGGCAGTATGATACAGAGAATTGTCCACTGCTCACCCTCCATCGACCGAGCAGGTTACTCCGTCGAGGAAGGTGATCAGGTTTGTCAAGCACGATTTGCCCTTGGTGAACCCATGCCAGCTTTTCCCAGTTGTGTGCTTCATTTGACTTGTGAGAGCTCCCAGGAGGATTCGTTCCATAACTTTCCCAGGGACTGAATTAGGACTGATGGGCTTATAGTTTCCTGGATCCTCCTTTAAGCCCTTCTTGTAGATGGGGGTGACGTAAGCCAATGCCTACTGTAACATCTCTCTTGGAGATGACCCCTCTGATCTTGACCCAGAGGCATTTGATGGAGCTTCCACAATCTCTGTCATTTACTTCTATACATTCAAGGTTCTCCTTAACAGAAAGCATGACTCTTCTTCTTCCCTGCCTGTCTTTAAGAAACAGCCTATAACCATCCATTGCAATCCTCGAGTCGTGTGAGTTGTCCCACCATGTTTCTTTTACCCCTGTGATATCATAACTTTCTGACTATCAATTATACACATTCAAATACTGGGCAATTAAGCACAACCTTAACCTTAGGACAAATTCTGCCTTCACGATGCTGGTATTCTGTTTATAATGGGTTCACTGATACAGTTCAAACCAGACTTTTGCTTATGGTCAGCAGCTGTTCACCTCTCAGAGACTCTCCTCTTCCTTTGCAAAAGAAAAAAAGCTTTTGTGTAGATAGGACTTTCAACTGTGTACTTTATTAGCTCTAGTTCTTCCCAACACTGAAGATGAACATCTACTGTAAAACATGAAAATCTTTCTATCTTAAAATTGCAATCAAACCCATCTTGCGTTCCTTTCTAAACAGAATTTCTGCGTTGTTGTACAACAGTAAACTCTCTGTGGTTCAGTATGCTACCAATTATCACTATCTTACCAATTTTATCTACTATAGACTTTAAATTTCAGATACCAATGGCTCAATATTTATTCTAAATCTTTACATATAGAACAATTTATTAGATTCAAAAAAGACTTTGATATTCTCGATAAATACCTCTTTTCCAATAAGCTTAAGTAAGCAACAAGTGCAAAATAAAACCTGTCCAAGTGGTACCTCAAAGTCTCGCTAGTATTTAAAACTACCAGTTGAATAATGGCATATGCATATAATTATTTAAAAAAGTCCGAGTACATCAAGCCATGCCCTTCACTGTCCTTGCAATTGGTCCTGGCACTCTCAGTCTCTCTCTCCCTGTCTCTCTGGTTCTCTCGTTTTCTCACTGATGACCAAAATCTTTGAGCTCCCTCTGCTGCCTCAGTTATGTATAACGCAGAAAACACGGCCAAAAAATCAAAGGGTTAAAAAAAGCCAAGATCGGCTGCAAAATAGCCCGGCGCCAGCTTTACATTATTGGACTTTATAGTTCTTGTTAGGGGAAAGGATTTTATCAGTGCTCAATGGGAACTTACAGTGCGCAGCAGGAATCAGCTTTCAGGCAAGCATCCACAGCCAAACCAAAAAGAAGTAATTTGGTTTACAGCTTGTTAGCTCTGTAGATTGGTTCTTTCTTTCTGTTTTCTTATTTTTTACATTTCTTTCAACTTCTTTAGAGTATGCGTTTCAGTTACTTCATATTCTCTTTCTTTATCTCAAAAGACAAATCAGATGGTTCATAGTGGAGAAAATCACCTCTTGGTGTGATTCTAGTTAAACTGAGGTAATTTTCAGTGATCACATAAGGAATTTAATTTATATCACGTATGTTCTGAGGAGGCAGAAAAAAAGTAAACCACATAATTTAAAACTCCCTTAAAGAAACTTCCACCATCAGCACCACTTAGGGCCCAGCCTTGCCAATCTCTCCATGTTATTGAGCAGAATGGTAGTACCAGACCTGTATATGTCTGACAATATTCACAAAGCAAGGATTTCACACTCATTTTCTAAAGTAAAACTCTCACTGCTTCATCCCTATAACGGAAAACCCAGGTCCAGTGTTTAATTTTTTTACATGTTGCTAATATTCATTTTTCCTCTAAGGATTTAGAAGTCTTAAATAATAGAGGGAGATTAAAAAAATGGGGGAGCCCAGGATAAAATTACTATTTCATTACATGAAATTAATATAACACAATTAATATAAATAATCAGCAACCACAAAATTAGCCATTAGCCACCACCATATGCCTATAGTGTCTTCTGACATCTCTCCCAGGACTGGGAAGTCAGAGCAAACACAACTGTCTATACCAAATTCAGGTACAAGTAATGCTGTAAACATTTTAGAGCATATCAGTCAGAGGCTGTTTCACAGGCCTAGAGAACAGGCAGCAGTGCTAGTCCTACACTTGTGTGCTGGGCAATGTTTGCTTAAATTCTTGCTTACATTAAGGAAAACCTGGCTTCAAATGGTTTTTACCTCATTTGAAGAAAAAACTAAATACAGGACCACAGTTGCCTTAGTACTCTAAGCCTAGGAGTAATCATTGTGTTTTATCTAAAATAGATAATATTGACCAGGATAGGTGTTAACAATCAGATCTTCCAGATATACTATAGGAAATAGTTTTCTCATTCTCTCTGATTCATTTTAACAAACATTCTTAAAGGTTTTAGAAAATACTTTGTACAATACAGAAAGTTGAAGAGCTTAATCTAAAGATTCCAGATTTTCCATTTCCCCATAGCCACGTATTGCAAGTACTAGGGAGGACTAGAAGGGACATCCTACATCATCAGAGCCAGCCCTTGTGATTGCAGACAAATTTCCTGTATAGTCATATTCACCACTGGTTCTAATTCAGCCCAAAACCCAAATGGTTTCTTTACATCCCAGCCCTTATGAAAGGTTCTTCCAGAATCTTTCTCTCCCCCATTCCAAGGTAGACTGAGCCTTAGGCCAAACTTGTACATCCTGTGATTACCTACACCCATCTGATCTGGTTCTAGAAAAGTTGGAGAAAAGTTCACACCTCTTATTTCCTCTTCCCTGTGCTTGTTTCCATTGGGTCTGCTTTCTCCAACTGCTTTATTTCTCTTAGAGGAAAAGCCACGATTTAGACTGCATTACAAAAGCCTATGGCATTGCTCCCATCCCCTCCAGCATTTTCTCTCTTACTTTTCCATTTTTGTATTAGTCTTCTCAATCTGTTTGAATAGCAGCTCTCTGGTTTTAGCCGTTGCTAGAAGTCTGTAGCCTGCTGTAGCAATTACAGCATTACCCACAAAAAGCTGTGAAGAGAACTGATTTGCAAGCTGAGATCTGCTCAGTCACTATTATAGAAAATCCGAGGATCTGTGAAAATCAGATTGTGGCATCGCCACATAGCT